ACATTATCAGAAAAAACTGGTTATTCTAAATGGATAAAACGCCTCCAGTTTAGAGTCCACCTCAGATTTTGTGAGAAATGGAAATTGATGCTTTATGCTGTTCATTAAGACATTGCACTGTAAGAAGATTAATGCAGCACTCTGTCGATATTCCTCAAGTAATTACCTTAATTTCAGAAACATCAAAGGATCTTTCAGGTCAGTATGCAGAACCTAATGTATATGGATGCTCTGTACACGCAAAAACTCCCCTCTGTAACTTAAGTTATTTGAATCCCTAGCTAATTGAGTCATGTGACCTAAAGCACTGAGCTAACTAAGCTAAACAATCATGTTAGCCAGAAAAACAGATATAACCGTCTTCAGGTGGTCCAAAGTTGTCTGCTATTCAGAAAGAAAGAAGGAGACTGTTTCATTTTGTTTAAAGTTTTCAGCACTACCATTAAACCTGAAGCTCACAGGTCTAGCTCCCCTAGTAGCTAAAAGTGATAGGGTGCTAATTTAAACTATGCTAAACTTGAACTTGATCCCCAGTCGGCCTCTGCAGATGGCCGCTCAAACTGGGCCTTGAGATTTCTTTCTGTTAAAAGGGAGTTTTTCTTCTCCACTGTCGCTACAAGCATGCTTGGTGTGAGAGATTATCTTTGAGTCAATGAGTCGATGCAATCAACTGGTTTTCCTGTGACATGTGTTGTGAATTGGCGCTATATAAATAAACTGAATTGAATTAAACAGCATCACTTATTTAGAATTATTTTGCAAAAACTCTTTTTTACCTAAAAAGGGACAAAGTTTTTACATTTTACCACAAGTGACAGGATTGTGGTCAGTTACTAGATCCACAGAAATAAATCCACACACTTCTACATGCTGCTGTCATGGACAGTGTAATGATTTCAGTTTAACACCCAGCTCCTGCTCTTTCATATTTATCATTATCAGGCCAAATAATAATACTAAGATCAATACTTAGCCTGTAGATAATGAGGAGTAGTAACCATAATGTGATGAAACTGAAGCCAAAAAATAGTGGTTGTTTTTGTGGATTAGACATTTTATTCCTGAAAACACCAAAAGTATTGCCTGAGATGTTTGGCCCCAGCAGCTCACGCCTATTAGTGTTTTGCAAAGCAAGTGGGTCAGCAGTAGGTGAGCAGCCATCCTCCATGAAATTTATTGATTTTTTTCCCCCATTCTTTTTACTTCAGAGGACATCTATCTGTTTACTATACATTTTACCTCAAAACTAGGACCAAAAATAGAAAATGGAGAAATTATAAAGCTAAAAGCTCATAAATAGAATTGATTGTGCCACCTGACATTAAGGAAATAAATCAGACTAGGCTAATTACTTGGAAAATGGAATTTAAAATGGTCATATAATGATTCTATAGGGTATTTGGTACTGGTTCTTGATGTCTCTGAATAGGGTGTGTAACATTAGTTGGGCGGAAAATGGCATATTTGCTGTTCTATGCGCCCTAATGAGAGCCTGGTTAAACGCCCTAGAAAAAAACGACTTTAGAGTCGACTAAAGTGCAGCACCCCAGCCCCCTCCTCCGGCTGAGGACGGGCGGCTCATGGCTCTCTGCTCTAACCCTACTCTCCCCTTAGCTGCTGCTCAGATTTGGGTTTCTGTCCTCCTTTTCAGAAACCCTAATCTGTTCACCCTAGATATGCTAGCATTGCTATCAACAGCTTAGCGACAAAATAAATTCTTACAGCTTGCAGTTGTGATGGTCTTACGGTAGGAACAACCCCTCATTTCACTAAAAGAAGTTTAGGAAATCCTGCTTTGAAAGCTGTCTTTGGTAAAATGCTTAGAGCAAATGAACAGTTGAGCATCAAACTTTGCGGGGATCTTCTGATAGACAAAAAATAACCCATGCCTGTCATGGATTATTTTTGTCCTTGAGAAAACTGTGAAAATGTTACCCTTTCTCCATGCAGCCTGGAACACTGCATTTACGCTTGTGGTTCTGGCTCATTTTCAATAGAGAAACTGCCTGCTTTGTAATTCTTGTATAAGTAAACTGTAGGCTAAACAGATAAAAATGTGATGACTTGCATCTCCAAGACCTCTATTCATATTCTTGGACCAGTGAATCACTGGGCTGGTTCAAATAAGTCCAAGAATCAAATAAGGCATCATCGCTGAGTTTACATCAACTCGGTGCTTCGTTTGGATTCGCCCCTTTTAATGGTGGAAGTTTGGAATTGTAAGATTTGAAGAGAAAGGAGGTGTCGATGGGGTTTGAACTTCTCTGTACGTCCATTTCGACCACTGTACTATTGTTATTCATCTATGACAACGTAAACTCAGTTTTGCATTCTATGAACCCTTTAATACTTTGCATTACATGAGCTTAAACGTCAGAAGAGCCCCATAGAAAATGCAGTGCCCTTTTTTTCTGCTGCACCAATGAAGAACAGGTTATTTTTGTATAAACAAATTAATTTATTTCTATTTTATTTTTTACGCTTTTTGTATTTTATAAAATCTTACAGCTGTAAGTACATGCGGAAATATTATGCTTAAAAAAAATGTCCCAAAATGTGTTTTTCCTGTTTCTGGCACATAAGCTCATTTATCTTTCCTTTCAACTAGAAACAGTTTGGTCCCATTTGGGGGTTTGGCTGTAAAAAAGCCAAAATGCCATGAACTGTTTTCTGTCCGTAGGGACGACTGGGGATATTCTCACATGCTTTATACTTGAGTTTGAGTGTGTGTTTGTGCTTAGTGTTTGTTTGTCCCTCTTGGCACCAACAACCCTCTAATGGTGAGCGAAGGGCTGAGGAGGGGATAGAGGAGGTGTAGAGGGAGACAGGTTGCCAGAGCACAGGTTAAACCACTAATTGGGAGCAAAGGGAGACGGGTTGCCAGATTGTGATGGCCACCAGGAGGGGCCGTTTAAGGGGGACATCTGTTCCTGCTGGAGAACAGCCGTCCTCACAGCTCCCTGTCCCTTCCTCTCTGACACTCATCTTCCTCGAACACAAACCTGACAGCCGAGAGGCCCTCAAAGTTGGCTTTACCTCCGACTTAGGGAGACTTCTCCCCCTTAAATTGACCAGAATCCAAGATCTGGCTGGAAAAAGATAAGAATATATTCTTTTCCGCATGGGAAGCAGCTCATCAGTTGACAATTCTTGTGCCAACAAAAAAAACATTTTCTCATTCAATTCAGCAATTATAAACATTGGGCAGGATGTTTAATCTCTTTATGTGTTCTCTACTCCAAGCTGTTTGCATTGGTTGAATCAGTAAACATATGGAGAAGCTAAGTTCTAACAATGACACAATTACATCCAGAGCAGAAACAATAAAATAAAATAAAATAAATAATAGATGCTGTCTCATATGGAGTAATATTTTAAACGAAATACAGGTATTTAAACGTGTGCTAAAGGTGTTTTATAAAGCTTGTTTTTTTTTTTCTAGGTTTACATAAGTGTGTAGAAAAATACTAAAATAAAATGAGTTTATGAAAACAATGTAAATCCAAGCTGACAAGATTATTGCTTTTTGTTCCATGCAATATCCTGTTTGCAATTAGGCAGCATGAAAAGCACCAACTGGAAGAATAATTGCTCTGAAACATTTTGCAAATGCGGCTGAAAATGCATTCAGAGCGTTATGAGGGCTATAAGACACAGGAGGTGGTTTGATTTGAATACTTGAAGGGGTAATCCACATGTTGTGGTTATTGTTATAACAATTTACTGCACAAGTCTTGCAATCTTGCTTCAGTGTCTAGAGCCGTTAGTTTGGCGGCCTCCTTGTGTTTAATACAGAGTTGTTGGCGGCTCTGCAGTTAGGGCTGAAACAAGTAATTGGATTAATCATGACTAATCGATTATTGAAATGATCGTATACTAATTTAGTAATCGATTAATTGTTAACTGGGCTGTAGAGACCTTAAAACGTGTTTTAAGCAGGCAGAGCAACCCACCTTGAGCAGCACTTATACCAAAATTGTGGGGGGGAAAATTGTAAACATTTTGCATTTTACATTAAAAAAAATTTTGCCTGTCAATATGCTCTATCCAGAACTCCTGAAGTGAAAAAGTTTTAGTTTCACCTGGTTTAATTTTGCAAAAGGTTTTCTTTAAGGAACCTTTGGCTACAGTATATGATTATTAATCGATTTCGGAAATATAATAAACAGATTAATCAATTTAAATAATAATCATTAGTTGCTAACCCTTCAAAAAGAGGGATTGGTGGCCTAGTGGTCAAGGCATAGGGCTTGGAATCCTAAGGTTGTGAGTTTAAAATACAATCCAACAGACTGCCATTCTGGCTCTCGGAGCAAAGACCCTTAACCCCCGATTGCTCCCCGGGCGCCCCACGATGGCAGCCCTTTGCTCCACAAACGGGATGGGTGAAATGCAGAGACTTAATTTCTCTATTGTGAGATCGATAATGTTCAATTTATTTTTAATTCATTCAGAATCAGAAATACTTTAATAATCCCAGAGGGAAATTACTTAAATGTATTAAATTATTATAATTATAATATAAATGCAAATTATAATATAAATATATATAAATTGTTTTATTATCTATAATTATTCATAGTTATTGTAACATCACCCAGGAAACATGACGTGATGCTGCTGTGTATAAAACCGACCAACATGCTTCTGTAGCCAGTAGTTCTGTAGCCAGTTGCAGTGAGTTTAGATACACATCAGTTCAAGAAACAGTTTTACGGTTAAATCTAATCTACACCTAATCTATCTTCTAAAACACCAATTTACCGCTCAAAAACTTTCCCCATTCGATGCTTGGATTCCTCGAGAGCTTCTGCTGCGCCAGTAGCAGCTCTTTTGTGTAAGTCTTTCAAACGAGCAGAGCTCAGAGCCCATTTGCCTGTTTGGTTCAATAAATAAAGCTAAGACTCTCTCTATCTAATATGTTTAATATCGATGCTATAGAATGATGCAGCTTTAAGGTAAAACACTGCAGACCCCAATCTTCTGTCTGATTCTTTCAGGGTACGCCATCCTGCAGGCCATCATGGAGAAAGCTGGACAGAACAACTGGCAGGTCAGCGCCATCTGCGTGGAAAGCTTCAACGATGCCAACTATCGCCGGCTGCTGGAGGATCTGGGCCGGCGACAGGAGAAGAAGTTTGTCATTGACCTGGAGGCAGAGAGACTGCAGAACATGTTGGAACAGGTGATGCAGCCACCATGTCAGCATTTACCTTTTAGCTTGCTCTGTAGGACCAACATGCTGAAGGGTTTACTCTATATTTTCAGTCCAGGTCTCACTTTAGAGGGAGAAATGTTATTTTTCAGTGTTTAAATTTGTTCTGCAGGCCTTAAACTGCACATTACTACAGAAATAACGTAACTAAGAGCCTTATAAACAAGATCCGTGTTTAGAATAGTCTTAAAATAGGACAGAGGGTCTAACCTACAAACTAAAACATAGGCCTCCCATTCTACTTTTAGAACCTCTGGGAACCAGCAGTAAACCTGCAGTCTGGGAACAAAATGCTCTGCTAGGAACATATGCAGCATCCAGATCTCTAATGCTTGGAGCTTCATTATTAAGAACTTAACATTTGAGAAGGTGAATTATAAACTCTATTCTGGATCAAAGGGGTATTTACATATATAAGCTCTTCTCTCACCTTTCCTGTTCCCCTTGGTGGTTGGGGAGGTTCATGTCAACCATTGGAGCTTGAGGGTCTTTCACTATATTGCTGCTTTTGGGCTGCACTTTTCTGAACTATGACCACCTTTGGAGGTGATTCCCACTCTCCCCAGAGGTCTGCATTTCATATTCTGCTTTAATAAAATATACCATCTCTTTGAACATTGACTCCAAAGTCAACTTTAAGACTGGAAGGATTTTGTGCAACATTATAACAGACGGCAATATTTGAATCTCTTCAAAGAGCTGTTTACCTCAGTCGTTTGATGCTTTGAGCATGCTATATCTGTTAATTAGGAGAGTTTGAACCTCAAAAACGTCTGTTTTGATCTCAAGTGGTGTTAGCTGGCACCACTACACTCAGAACGTGCACCTCCCTTCTCCTCCTTCACATCCTTCTGCTTATTCCTTTAGCCCACCACCTTTCTCTGGGGTGAAAAGAGCCTCTTTTACTCTCTACTCAGTTGACTTTTTCCTTTTTCTTAGGCAGATTGTTTATCTACTGATTTAGTTTTCCATTAACATCTATCCATAATAAAATACCCCCCCCCCCCCCACCCAGAGATGTACAATATATCACAAAATATAAAAAAATAAAACATTTTATGAAATAAATGTGCAACTCAAGTGATATAAGATACAGTGAGAAAAATAAGTATTTGAACATCCTGCTATCTTATGATTTCTAAGTTCTCCCACTTAGAAATCATGGATGGTTCTGAAATTGTCATTGTAGGTGCATGTCCACAATGAGAGACATTATCTAGAAATCACAATATATGATTTTTTTTACTATTTATTTGTATGATACAGCTGCAAATAAGTATTATAAAAAGTATTAACTGGGAAAATCAATGTTAATATTTGGTACGGTAGCATTGTTTGCAATTACAGAGGTCAAAACTGTAATTATTCACCAGGTTGGAATACACTGCAGAAGGGATTTTGGCCCACTCCTCCACACAGATCTTCTCTAGATCTGTCAGGTTACTGGGCTGTTGCTGAGAAACACAGAGTTTGAGCTCCCTCCAAAGATTCTCTATTGGGTTTAGGTCTAGATACTGGCTAGGCCACATGACAACTTTGATATGCTTCTAACAGAGCCACTACTTGGGTATCCTGGCTATGTGCTTCGGGTCATTGTCATGTTGGAAGACCCAGCCTCGGCCCGTCTTTAATACTCTAACTGAGGGAAGGAGATTTTTCCCCAAAATCTGGCAATAAATGGCCCCATTCATCCTCTCTTTAATACGGTGCAGTCGCTCTATCTGATATGCAGAAAAATACCCCCAAAGCATGATGCTGCCACCCCCATGCTTCACAGCAGGGATGATGCTCTTGCGATGGTACTCATCTTTTTTCCTCCTCCAAACACATTTAGTGGAATTATGACCAAAAAGTTCTATTTTGGTCTCATCTGACACTCATGACTTTCTCCCATGACTCCTCTGTTTAAGCACGGGAACCTTCTGTGCCATGCATGATTTCAAATTATGTCTCAGTGTATTACCAACAGTAACCTTGGAAACGGTGGTCCCAGGTCTTTCCAGGTCATTGACCAGCTCCTCTTGTGTATTTCTAGGCTGGGTTCACACCTTTCTTAGGATCACTCAGACCCCAAGAGGTGACATCTTGCATGGAGCCCCAATCTGAGGGAGAGTGACAGTAGGGATGGAACGGTTTATAAAAACCGTACGTTCGACTGTCTCGGTTCGATTCACGTGTGTTGCGTTCCGTTCATGCGCTGCTCCTTTTTCTCATGGAAGCGTGTACACTCCAGAGCAGAAGGTGGCGGTACTGCGACCAAAGCCAACCACCAGTAGTAAACAAGAAGAAGAAGAAGCAAAGCAGCGTAGCCGGGTGTAGCAGAAAAAAATCAGTTGTTGTGGAGAATTGTGTGGGTATGGCGAGTGGGTAAGAACAGGAGTTGGAAGACGCGCCAGCAGCACTTTATAGGTCTGCTGTATGGGACCGCTTTGCATTTAGAGTGACCTACGATGACAGCGGAAAGAAAGTTGTGGATAAAAACAGTGTGCAAGCATTGTGCAACACGTTTTGTTTATTCTAACAGCAACATGACCAACATGTCAGGCTAACAATCAACATATACCGAACCGCAAACCGTTACCATGAAACCGTGAACCGAACCGAACAGTGGATTTTGTGAACCGTTCCGGCCCTAATTGACAGTCATGTTTAGCTTCCTGAAATTTCCCATGTTAGTAGTTGGATTCCTACTGATTGTATGAGCTGGACATGCGTCTTTATGCAGCTAACCATCTCAAACAGGTGCATCTAATTTAGGATAATAAATGGAGTGGAGGTGGACATTTTGAAGGCAGACTAACTCAGAGTTCTGGTTGATATAAAGGTGTTCAAATACTTATTTGCAGCTGTATGATGCAAATAAATAGTTATAAAATCATATATATGGGATTTCTGCTTTTTTTTCAGATTATATCTCTCATAGTGGAAATGCACCTATGGTGACAATTTCAGAACTCTCCATGATTTCTAAGTGGGAGAACTTGCAAAATAGCAGGGTGTTCAAATACTTATTTTTCGTCACTGTCTAAATGCAATTGTGTTTCTTCATGTTTAAAAGATCATGATTTGCCCCTATCCCCCTGAGCTTAGTGCCATGCTGATCCCATAAGGAACCATAATATTAAAAGGCAGAGGAAACTTTCCCAATGTAAAATCCAATAAGTCATTTGATCAGGGGCATTTTTCAAAATCAGCCTCTTTTTCATCGGCTTGCTAATAAATGATATATAGCTTAGAATGTGAGTGAGTATCATTACACAGCAATTAAAGGGTCAGAGGAGAGCAAGGAGGAAAAATAGAGGAGAAAAACACAGAGATCATTTTGGACTGAAAGGAAAAAAGTAGGGATGCACGATATTGGGATTTTGGCCGATATCCGATATGCCGATATTTTAAAACTCATAAAACCGATATCGATACCGATGTTAAAGCTGGACAAAAATAAGTAGTCATTGAAAATAGCAGTTTTGTTATCCATTTCTGACACTTTTTAAAATAATATACTCAAATATATTTTCATATGCTGATATCAAATTGATTTTTAAAAATGCAGTATCGATCTATTTTACTTTCAAAATCTTGTGAAATTTCATCGTTCTGTTACAAACTCGAGATATTTTGCAAATTCTTGTGAGACTTTGTTAGTAAAATAGGTCGATACCGCGTCAATATATCAACATATAAAAATATGGCAAAATATCTTGAATTTTCGGGGGATTTCGTAGCATAACGATGACATATAGCAATATTTCATTAGTAAAAGAGATTGATATGGTGTTTTTAAATGGCAATATAGCAGCATATGAAGATAGAAGTTTTTAAGTCTGTAAATAAGAAGTTTTTGAGGAAGAAGAAATAGTATTTTTTTTTTTTTTTTTAGACTTTAGAAACTCAGAAGCTGATCAAATATCGGGTTAAATATTGGTGGGGTGGCCTATGTCCGATATTCAGTTTTAAGGCCGATACAGGCCGATACCGATAGGGGGCCGATTATATCATGCATCGTGGTTAAAGGAGGGGAGGAAATGAAGGGGACAGTAAAAAAAAAAGTCTGTCAGGATGTAACTTTAAACCTACCTCATAATTTAAATTTTACTTCTGTACAATTGGTTTTTATGTAGTTTATTGGATTCGGCAAAACCATATGAATTAGATTTGGTTCTTTTTTTTTAGAGAAGTGGTGCTTTATCGAATGTTTTAGTGTAGTTTGCAGAAATTTTACTTAAGTTTTTAGCAGACAGATAAACATACACTAGACACATTGATGAATGCATGGTTCCTTTTTTCATTCACAAGCCAACAACTGCAATCTATTACTTCAAAGTATACGTCTGCATTTACAAAGTGTCGTATTTTATGGTTTTGCTGTAATATCTTTTTTTTATGCTTTCTTATTGACACTGAGTTTTGTTCATATTTATGTAGAGTATTTGGATCATTATTAATGGGATCCTTTATACATAAAAAAAAAAAAAGATTTGTTTTATTAACAAAAGCTTTTACAAGATATATATGGTGTATAGCAAGCATTTACTACGGTGGCTGAGAAGTGCAAAACACATTTACAATTCAAAAACACATTAACAAATAAAAAACAAAATAACATTTGAAGAAACAAAATTATATTTTGTGAAACAAATGTATTTTTGAAAAAAAAGTTTAAATTTTTAAAAACAAATTTACATTTTAGCAAACAAATTTACATTAACAAATAAACAAAATAACATTTGAAGAAACAAAATTATATTTTATGAAACAAATGTATTTTTGAAAAAAAAAAGTTAAAATTTTTAAAAACACATTTACGATTCAAAAACACATTAACAAATAAAAAACAAAATAACATTTGAAGAAACAAAATTATATTTTATGAAACAATTTATTTTTGAAAAAAAAAGTTAAAATTTTTAAAAACACATTTACATTTAAGGAAACAAATTCACATTTTAAATAAGTTAGATTTTAGGTGA